AAATTTTTTATTAAATAAAGTCCTATTTTTATTAATTGTTATTTGCTGGCTGAGATGTTTTTACTTTTTAATTAAGGTCAAATGGTCACGTGTGCCTTCTCGGTGAAATTAACTTCCCAACCAAACCTGTTCTTAAATTGCTATAAACTTCTCTCATTTTTCGTACTTTTTTTTCCTAGTCCATCACTTTCAGAAGTCGCATAAAATTATTGTAATAATATAAGGTTGGTAGTTAGACAATCAAATAAGGTTGTTAAATATGATCTTATTTTGAAATTAACGTGAGTATATTACGATTTACGACACTCGTACATGAGTAATTGATAAAAAAATAAATGTACAAAAAAAACTCATATAAAAGAGTTTGCATCATTAAACATATAAATGTACAATAATTAATAAAAATACTATTATTTCAAATTATGAAAAAAATTATATATATAAAACATAACTAAATTAATTTATAATATTTCCATTATTTCACAGCACAATTTTTAAGCCTTCTGTGATCTTAATTTTGAATAGTGCAACGTGACTTTAATCAAGACTAAAGATTAATTTAGGTAGATACAATCCAATGTTACCTTGATTCTTATTAAGCACAGACATTACTCAATAATATTTTGTAGAATAATAACTTGCTACTATGGCACATTGCACCAATTAATATACTGGTTGCAACTTAATAATGTTTATTTAAACCAAGAACAACATATAATTGAGTAAATATAATTGACATCGCCAATTTAAAAATACTGAGTTCACTTCCAAATAGAGGCAAACATCAAGAAGATAACTTGACCTTCCAATAGGAAACCACGTATATAGGCAAAATTTCATAAAAAAAAAATAAATATAAAGTTGTTTGAAATTATAAAATTTTCATATGTTCCTCAATTCTAAACATGAACTATAAAATGACACCTATTTGATAACATGTGAAATCCACATATAAATCATATATTAAACTAATACATATATCATAAAAATAAAAATAAATAAGTTAATATCAATAATCAAAATAATTTCTATACTAATTGATATTTCTTCTCTGCTTTGATCTATATAATTATTATTGTCACATGCATCGTACGAGCTACACACTAATTGTAAAACACAGACAATTTGAATAACTAAGTTATTATTGGGTCATATCAAACCCTCTTATATTCCCCTCGTAATGAATCGAATTGTGCCTTAATTTCTTGTGGTGTAGATACTACGATACATTAACAACATCATGTATACTGCAATTCTGAAATTCAGCCTTTATTTTTTGCTATATATAATTTATATTTGGTGGGAGGATTTAAATATTTTTCAAACAAGTATACAATTTCAGAATAAAATGATAATACTTTCTTATAACAAATCCATGCATGAGAAGTCGACATAAAATCAAATAGAAATTAANTCAACTCAGTGTGTATTTTAGGAATATTAATTAGATTGCACAATCTAAAGATGTTGAAAAAATTATCTTTAAGTAATGAAGAATTTTTTTGTCTATTTTCTAGAAGAACAATGGATTTTGAACGGAAAATGATGTTGTACCGTTTGTGATGTGAATGATCATTTTCTTAACCATTAAATATTAGTATTAACTACTCACCTAAACCAGCCAACTCCATTGTTTTCCAGTGGGATTATGGTTTGCTGTCAATTAAGGTCCCTATCATTGACACCGTATTTAATTTCAATTTCTTTTTTATATATATATTTACTTGAATGGACATCCATCCATACATGTCACGAATAGTTCTCAACCTAATTATAAAATTTTAGGTGGGAACTGAATAATAAAATAAATAAAGAAATAATAAAAACCAAAAATTGAAGAACGTTCTTGAATTGAGCTCTGTGGTGATCCGCAAAGCATGGTTTTAAAATTGGCTTGGAGGGTCCGCTCGACTAGTTAGACTGAAAATTGGTTTTCTAGTCTTCACTAAAAAGTCGTTTGCCAAAGAATTGGTCGAGAATCGATTTTTGACCAGTCAATCAGATAAAAAACTGGCCCGTAAGACCGGTTCAAATTTTTAAAATTTTATTCATTTTTTATTAAAAAATATTTTTAATATTCTTAAATATATGTTATATAAATCATTATATCACCCAATTTAGGTATTTTCATGTTTTAAGTTATTCAAATATTTAATTAATGTTATTTTTTCATATAATATTTTATTTAAAATTCTATATTAATATTAAAAAATATTAATAAATAATACAAGTCCACCGGTTCAATCATTGACTAACCACTATATTAAACACGTAGCTCTATCGATTGGATAATTTGGTTCGATTTTAAAAACCTTGTTGCAGAACCCCGTTGCACGTGTAATAGCTATATCAGTAATCTCTGAAAATGAAAGTGAATAAAAAATATTCCCCTCTCAATCCCAATTTTGCACAAATTATGGCTGGCAACTTAAAAGAGACGTCCCTTTACAATAATTTAGTGTCATCATTCTTTGATAATCAAATCAAATCTATATTAGATCATCCACGATGCTTTGTGTCTCTTAAAAAATATCATATGCCATGTAGGAAATAAATTTAGTCTATTAAAAAATATTTTTTAATGCAATTAAAAGTGAACATGGTCTAACTGATGTGACAATAAAAAAATAAGACCAAGTCGGCTTATTTTACACCTAAGTACAAACTTGATCAGTATTTATTTTTCATTTATTTTTTTAATAGAGAAAACATATTAATTAGTTGATTGATTGAAGTAGTTGACATAATTACTAGACATGCTCTGTACGTACTCCTTGGATGTTGGTATAGATTGATAACTGAGAATGATTGTGTTGATTCACATTATTAAATTCCATCTCTTTATGATAAAATAGTAATAGAGCTATGATTAAAAGAAAATTACCAATAATTACTGTCCAAGAGCTCAAAATTCCAATATATTCTACATCTGATTTTGATTTTCATCCATGTATTATGGTGCCCAGAAGGAAGAGTATACAACGGGTGAAATTCACGTATAATAATATACACACTTTTATCATCTTTTCTCTTGAATTACAAATTTGGATTGATTCGTGGCGTTGCTATACTGGATTTGTTTGTTTATTTGTGTATTCGTGATAAATTAGTGGATTTGATCTCATTTAAAAGATTTGACCAATTAAATCCCCTAATTGACTTATTTAGAAATAGCTTCCATTCATTCCTTTTTGTTATAAAATAGAGAGAAATATAGAAAATATAGAGAATGTCTTCTCTTGGTTGTATTTTCATTATAACTGAAACTCCTATTTATAGGAAAATTTCTGATGGCAATCGTAATAATACAATTACATCAGGGACAAAATAGTCATTCACATATATTATTTTATGCACCTCATGCACATATATTATAACACTTTTCACTTCCTCTTCTCGCCCAAAAAAAAAAACTTCATATCTCCCGTCGTCCGGCGGAGGCCTCCCTCCGCCTCAGGCCTGTCGCTATACTATCCGAGTCTGATTCCACTGAGTCGGGTCATTGGTGGCTTTTCCGTAGGCTCCCCTCCTTTCCCGGCGTGGATGATTTTTCGAAGTCCAGATCTAAATCGAGAGCAGTCTCTTCATCAGATCCGTCCAGGCGGCACGAGTGGCTGCAGTTTTCGGGCTTGAGGTTTCGGTTTGCAGCTTTGTTTGATCTCCACGCTATTGGAAGTGGCACGTGTGCGGTCTCGGGTGGCCGAGCGTTGGGTCTGTTAGGTGTAGGGGAGGTCTTAGTTCATTTGTACATTAGATGTGCATTTTTATATATTTTTCGTGTGTTATTCCAGCTTGTCTGGTTTTATCTCCTTTATGGAATTTTGTTTTGATTTTGCGGTTGCCTCCTTGATGGAATTGTAGCTCTTGGATTCTTCTGGAATTTCAAGAGGGTAAGTCCAATTATTTGGTTCCTTGGGTCTGTTGACATCCCCTCTGTACTCTTTTTGAGTTTTTTATTTATGCCGTTTGAAAAAAAAGACTTATTTGAAAATGAGCTTATTTGATTAATTTTTTGGATAAAAAATGCAAACTCTAGAAAAGCTACAAAAAACAACGTGTTGAAAAGATAAGGTATTTTTTTTAAAAAAAAATAAAGCAATACATTTTAATAACTATAAATTTTTCAATTTAACAAACACTTAACTGCAAATTGCTTAATAAATTTGTTAGTTAAACCAGCTAATACATTAAGTTGTTCACTGATACAATGATCTATCGGTTATTAGATAGTTGCCAAACAAGAGAATACATATTTTAGAGAAAACGAACTTCTATTTCTTAAAAGGGGATTCTTTATTAGGTTAAGGATTGCAGTTTTCTATTGTATCGCAAATTTTCTATTTTCCAAAATATAAAAAACAATTTAATTTAAATTCGTAAACCATGTGTTCATGTGGGATTTTTTCTTTATGAGAAAAACATTGAAAACATGTGCACAAGGGTATTTCCCCAAAATTTTATTGTCCAACTTTGCATTGATGAGGCCCAAATTATTGACTGGTTTCATTGTAGTCTACAAAAAATTGTGGGCCTTATTGACCCCTTACTGCACTTCAATCAGTTACCCAATTGAGAAAGTCATCGTATGGATGTATTTATTCTTTTCCCAACAACGTTATCGCCCTTTATCTTTATCTATTCGCCTCTTCCAATAACAAAATTCAATAATTTATCAAAAAGAATAGAACAATATTGCAACGCTTGCAAATTATAATTAACTCACACAAGTGGAATCATATATTGATACTATATTACACATTTGGTTTCTAGTTTTAGTTCTACCTTTATATAAAAATTTCAAGCACCTTCATGAAGAGATTCTTTTGGTCATACAAAATCATTTTAAAGGAAATCATAAAGAATTGATATAAAAAGACCAGTCAAATAAATGAAATCAAATCCTTTTAACTAAATAAAGCACAAATCCAAAAATAAAAATGACTGGTAACTAAATAACAATGCTGTCATATTAGCACTGCTCAAGTGTTTGCCGTGGCAAATTATACTATCCACGGAAAGAAACGCAGCGTAACCTGTAGAATTACATCAGCATCAACTTCAAATACAGCATCAACTTCAAATACACTCTCTACAGCGTAACCTGTAGAGAGTGCATCAAGATAACTAACCTGATCATCTTGAAAACAACTGAAAAACTCTTAAGTAAGATCGAAACGCGTAAGATGGGAAGAACCAGAAAAACACAAAGGAATGAGGATCAAAATAAAGGAAATGTTATGACCTAGGATATAAAGGTAGTGGCAAAACATAGAATAGAAGCCTTATACCCATATCATCATATTTCCATACAAAGAAAACTCCCCGCCGAGCAAGAAAATAAATAACTCAAAAAGACTTCGAAAGATTATGAAGAAAAAGAACAACCGGCTATGAAACAAAATTTTCTTCTCATACAAGTTTGTATAGTGCTGAAACACAACCATCAATCAACTCATCAGAATACTGTTCTGCAACTCCAGTTCAACCGAAAAGGATTACGGATGTAACTTAAAGAACTAAGATTCTGGAAATAATGCTCCTAAATCAACAAAAACAATATCACCAACAAACTTCAAACCACTTCAAGAGGTGCGGGCCAGGATCTGATTACCTCGATAAATGTCCACAAGTTCGGGAACATCCTTCTTGTACTTCTCGATATAGGTCTTCAAGAAAACCTTCTCGGACATCGTTAGCAAAGTTGTGATAGCCACATTCTTCAGCCCCTTCCCACTCAAAACTTCAGCAACCGCCCACCTTGGCTTCATTCTCTTTTCGAAGCTGTACCCAAGGAGCCAAGAGCACCGTGCCACGTCACCTGGTGCCCACCCTAATTTATCAACCAGAAAACCCATACCTTCCAAAATCTTCTTCTCGGACAAGGCCATACAGTGCGGCTGACTCAGAAAGGCGGTCCTGATGTCGGATTCAGACATGCCGCACTTTCTATAAACCTCCATCTTGCGCTCAAGTGCCGACTCATCAAAACCCAGAAAAACCCGAGTGGCCTTCACAAATGCATAATTGGACACGTCAAACCCCATTTCTATTGCTCGATCCACACACAAGGATAACTTTTCCTGAGGAACCATGAGCATTGTTAGCTCGTACTTGACCAGTGACACGAGAGATGGCCGGGGGACCCCACGGGCTGCTAGAAACGAGAGGTTGGCTGAGATGTCATTAGCCCGGCTCCAGCTGAAGAACTGGGGAGCCTGTATAAAGACTTGAACGGCCCCCTTATCCGACCCCAGCAGGTTTTTCAGGAAATCGAATAAGGGGATGATTGACTTCTTCAGGCTGCACCTTAAGATGGTAGGGTTCCGGGACAGCCTGCTGGCCAGGATGGGGAGAGGGATGCCGAATGAGGCGAAAAATTGGAGCTTGGGCAAAAGGGTTTTTTCTGGGCAGGCAGAGAGAACGTTCGGCCACCGGGTGACCACTGCAGAGATGTTGGCGGCCGTGAATCCGTACTCTCTGAGGAGATTCAAGACCGCGTCTGTTCTTTCAGGCGATTTCAGCTGGAGTTTACTGGAGGCACGGACGGCGACGTCTGGAGCCAACCCGCATGAGCTGACGAGGTAGGAGAGGGTAAAGGATTTCTCAGTGTCATCTTCGCGAACACCTTGCGGTGGTTTCCCGGTAGTGAACGGCTTGGAGAAGACCGCATTTTCAGAAACCGAAATTTGACGGGCAGCCAAAATAGAGAGCTCCGGTGGAAGCCTGAGTCGTCTGCCTAGGAGAATTGCGAACATCGATTCGAAATCCAATTTTGAATTCAACGGACTTGGTGAGCTGAAGAGCAGACGAGGGTTTGAACTTTGAAGATGTGTATTCCGTACAGGGGAAATTCTAAAATTGATACATTTTAGATTCGAAATCCAACTTTTTTGTAATTGTATCGCCTGAATTTTATTCTTTCTCAATAAAAAGGTTTACATATTAAATTATTCTCAATTCTTAAATATGTGAACCAACTTTAGTTGTTAACTTTTCATTATTAACTAACTTTACTTTTTAACATAAATATGTGAATCAACTATTATGTGAACAAAAATATTATTATTATTTTTTCTTGTAATTTATATTTTACATACTTATAATATAAAATAATAAATATCTTTAAGAAAATTACCTTAATAAAAAAATGAAAGTATATAAATTGTATATACGGAAAAATTTAATAATGATTATTTTAAAAAATTGATACGTGAATTTAAAAATATGTAATGAAAATATTATTTTTATTAATAAACTAAATATGTACTATGGTATCATCTTTTGCATAAGAAAAAGAAATTAAAATCCTGAAAAGCTAAAATAAAGGCAACATTACTCAAATATTATTTTTTTATTTTATTACATATTTATATTATTAATACAAATAATATTTTAATTGCATATTTTATCAATTTTTAAAAATAATCATTATTAAACTTTTGCATAATTGTAATTTATATAGTATCATATTTTTATTAATGTAATTATACTAAAGATATTTATTATTCTTTTTATTATAAGTATGTAAAGTATAAATTACAAAAAAAGAAATATTAATAATATTTTTGTTCACATAATAGCTGGTTCACATATTTATGTCAAAAAATAAAATTAGTAGGACCTTATAATGAAAAGTTAACTAAAAAGTAGGCCTTAAATTAAGAATAATCTAAAATGTAAGCCTTCTATTGAGAAAAAAATAAAAATCAGACATTAAATTGATACAAATACAAAAAGTTGAGCCTTGTAATGAAATTTCTCCATTCATCTTTTTCGGCGATTTAGGGAAGAGGCGTTGCGTTTTTTTTATGTAAATGTCGCGTTTGACAATCAACACTTTTTGAATTCGATTTAATTTACTTTTTGTTAAGTAAAAGGAGAAATGTTATAGGTACATAATATTGTAAATATAAGTGTACATAACACTCACATTAAGTGGGTCCTACCAAAAATAAAAAATCAAGTAGACCCCACTCTATTTGAGTGTTATGTACACTTTTATGTACTTGTCGTATTTTTCGAGTAAAAGTTAGAAGATAGGTAAGAGATTGTTTGGATACAAATCAAACTCAAAAAAATCCAAACATTTTTAACTCAACCACTTTTTTAACTCAACCTCACTATTATCAATATATCATTCTTACACATGACATAAACTTTAATTCACTATTCATCCTCTCACATAATTTTAACCAACTATCACTTTAAATCACCTCTCTCTTACTTTTATATCAAATTAACTTTAATTATTTTATTTTAAATATTATTTTAATATACCCACTAACAACTAACAATACTACCTTTTTAAAATTAATCAAACAAAACTAAAAAATCCAATCAAATCAAAAAAACTTGAAACTGCAACTAAAACTTCATGAAAATGGCTATCAGATCCAATTCTTGGACAAAATGTTGTTTCCTATTATAATACCTAAAATCTACCTTAATCTTGTGGCATACATCCATCCATGGAAAATATCAAAACGCCAATGAAAAGCAACAAGCAACAAGCAACAACAAAAGATTACATGTCTCACCAAAAGAGATTAAATCTAAAAAAAACCACAAAGAGAAAACAATAAAACTTCCAAAAAATAAAGAAAAGGTATTTTCTACCTCACGAGCCAGTGGGGAAGAAAAGCTCATTTTTTATTCCTTCCCTGTGCGCGAATAGCAGGGGAGAAGAAGGCCAAGAGTCCTCAAAAAGGGTATACTGTACAAGAAAAGATCTTTTTTCTACCAAGAACCACAGACCAATAGATGTCCTCAGGCTAATCAAGAGATTCATCCTCCACCCATCTCTTCATCATCAGGAACTGCTGTTATTTCTGCATGCTAACATAGGATACACAATGCAGGCAACATACTAACACAGTTTACAAAGTAACATACTTATTTCACTCGTATAATTTACTGAGCTTTTTTATTAAGGCTAATGTTTATTCTCTTCATAGTTAGATCAATAACTTTAACCTCAATCTTCTAACCTGCTGTTAAAGTCGACTACTGAGGGCAACCACAGACACAAAACGATGTGCTCGGAAGCTTCCATTGTGTGACATATTCCAACTCTTGCAAATAATAATTTAACTCGCACAAGTGGAATCATATATTGATACTATATTACACAATTGGTTTCTAGTTTTAGTTCTACCTTTATATATAATTTTCAAGCACCTTCATGAAGAGATTCTTTTGGTCATACAAAATCATTTTAAAGGAAATAATAAAGAATTGATATAGAAAGACCAGTCAAAGAAATGAAATCCTGAAAACACAAATCCTTTTAACTAAATAAAGCACAAATCCAAAAATAAAAATGACTGGTAACTAAATAACAATGCTGTCACATTAGCACTGCTCAAGTGTTTGATGTGGAAAATTAAACTACCCACTAAAAGAAACACACCAAACCTGTAGAATTACATCAGCATCAACTTCAAATACAGTTGCATCAATTTTTAGCTCTTATAGAAAGGCTCAACACATGCAAACATCTTATCATATTGAAGTAGAACAAGGAAACGCCAAAAAAACCATCATGCTCTAGCTTGGTCATGTCATTAACAAAAATAAACTAAGAACATAAGACTATTATACAAAAAAGGAGTTCTTTTGTCCCTCATCATTCTAAACCAACAAAAACAACCATGAAACTCTACATCCTCTCACATATGTAATCCCACAGACGCAATAGGCACATGAAGATCCATATTCAATATCTTAACAACAAAGCTTTGCTTCATATGTGTAAAAACTGCATTTTTTACTAAAATCTGCACACCATGGTGCCACCTTCAGTGTCAGATAACTTTCGACACCCAAGAAAAGGCACAAGACAACCAATTATCCCACTATGATCCACCAGAACCTTTGACACAGCACAATTAAGCAACCCAAGAAAAAACAAGCTTTCAAATGCAGCCAAAATGAAAAGACGACACTAAAACCAACGAAAATATGTCACCAAGATTTAAAAGATGGGCACACACAAATTCAACCATATAAATCTACGAACCCCAGTTCCACCTTTAAACATCTTTTTCTTGTTTTGGTAACATCATGGGATAAAGATCAGCTACAGATCTTCCCCATTCATATGATGCTCTCCACCATGATTATTCTCTTCCTCGTGCTGCATCTGATCCTCCACAAACTGAACCAAGCCATCATTATCATCGTTAACATCCTCAATTTGCTCTCCCTGACCATCGACACTTCCCAAACCACCCTCCAAATTCATGAAATTTACATGTTCACCGTTATTCCCTGAAATCCCACCTCTGATTTTATCGTTTTCTTTCAGCCCAACAGCATTGAGTGCCGCCAGTATGTGACCCGAATTATCCACCCTATCAGCATTCCCATCCAAAACCACAGTCTGGCTCAAACCACTACATGAATTCCCATTACTATAACTAGCACTTACACCTACATTCCTATTTTCCCTGTCCATTCTCACAACATATCCACTGGACCCACCAGACGGCCCAGCCAGGACAGTCTCTTTCTTCCTCAGCTTTTCCTTCATCACAAGATGGGCTACATAATCCAGAGCTTCCTTAGCCCTTTTCCGCGTGTAAGCTGCTTCTTTCGCTCGCCTCTCTGCTTCGGCCTTGGCGGAGGTGACTGCTTTGTTCATCGACATAGAGGCAATCTTGGCAGCGGCCAGCAGTTTCTTGGCGGCGTCTCTATCCATCACCCTGCAACCATCGAGGTCCACGTCAGAGGGTTCGCAGATATTGGCTTCTTTAGCGGATTTGAGTTTGAAAATGGGGGTGTTGGGGTGAAGGCAGAGGAGGCAAACGTAGGGGGTGGTGTGGGGAGGGCCGCCGGCGGGCCGGACGCATTGAGAGTGGGAGGAAGAGTAGCACTTGAAGCAGGTGGCGACGGCGTCGAGCGGAGGGGCCGGGGGGTAAACCTGGTAGCAGACGGGGCAGAAGGACTGCGGGTGGAGGCGCAGGACGCAGGTCGTGCAGAGGCGGCGGAAGATCCCGCGGTGGCGGACGTGGTGGAGGAGGCGCCGCTCCTCCACGCCGCAATTGCCGCAGGCCGTCGCCGGCGGGAGGGTGAGGGAAGGGCTGGCGCCGGTAAGGTCCGGCTTTATCAGCATGTTTTCACCGATTTATACGATTTAAGCTAGAATTAGACGCACATTCACCGATTTGATTTATCTCCTCCCTTATGGTTTGTCGGTTAGGGTTTCGCAGAGCTGAAGAAATCGTAGAAATTGATTGTTGTGGCTTGGTCAGAGAGAGCATGTCACTGAGTTCTATTTTCATTTTCCTTTTTAAGAAAAAGGGAAAAAAGCTTTTTTTTCATCTCAACTATCACAATTTTGGTACATTATCATTTGAAGTATTAACTTTTTTTTACTTTTTTCCTGCAAATTACTACCTGAACTATACGGGTTTGACAAGTTACCCCCATACGAGATTTAAGTCTGGTTTCACCTAATTTAAATCGGTTTTGAGCTCCATATAAATACCTCTCTTCCAGTCATTTGTGAGAGAACTTTTCTCCAAATTCTCTAATTCTTCTCTCTTTTGTTCTAGAGTTTTCAATTACCGATTCAAAAAAATATTTCGGCTAATTTCAGAGGAGCTAATCGATGATTTTTGCCGTTGTGGGAATCCTACTGTGCGAAAGATGTAATGGGCTGATGGTAATGCGGGGCAGAGGTACTCAGCGTGCGAGAAATATCGGGTGAGTGTCACTCAATTTCTTCTCTTGAGTTCAGTTTGCTAATTTAATTTGGGATCTTTTTTGGACATTTGTGTTTGTCAACTCATATCAATTTTTTTATTTCATTTTTAATTTTTCGAATTCCAGATGACGGGTGGGTGCACATACCATATTTGGGTTGACCCTTCAATGTGTTATAGAGCACAACAATTCATTCATGGGCTTCTGAAACGAGCCAAAAAGTTGGAAAAAAATATTGCAAGAAGGAAGGAATGGGAGAGGCTCATGTTGTTGGCAATTGTTGGTTTGATTGTTCTATGCTTCTTGAAGTGTAATGGGTGTGCTTGAGCATTGACTGAAACTAAATAGATGCACTACTTGCCATTTTTTGAATGTTGTAGTTGGCCATTTTGAGCAACGGATGTATCTCTTTTGTGAATGCAATGGAAGTATCTCTTTTTTGTGGACAATGTATTATGATGGTGTATTGGTATCTTCCAAACAATGTAATGTTATTGTGAATTGGCTATTTCATGAATGCAATGGACTACATTTTGTGGACACTGTTTTTTTTTTTTTTTTATTTTGTATTAATAAACAACTAAAATAAACTAACACTTAAATTTCCAACAAAGATCATACATTGTTTGGATCATACATCTCCAACATTCCAAAAACAACCACAATATCCCAACATAACATGTTCACAATAACCAAGTCAACAAAACATGTTCAGAGACACAAAACAAATCATGTTTCTCCCACCCAAACCAACAACACAAAACAAATCATGTTTACAGACACCAAACCAACAAAGCATGATTTATTTAGTTTAGAGCCACAAATTAAGAACAAGCCTATTATAATGTTGTTTACAAATTAGGGCTTCTTCATCACTTTTGACAATTTCTTCACTTCTGACAATTGATGATTCTGTCCTGTGTATAATCCCTCCTCCACTTATCATGTATCCTCCACCAAACATTCTTGAGAAGGTTGCACCTTCTGTGAGTAACCTCCTAGGTGGTCTCTATAAGGGTCTGGCAACTTGTGCAATTAAGTGGTCTCTATAAGGGTCTGTCAACCTGAGCAGCATTGCACGCTGTTGTAGCAACCAAAAAGCGGCGAGATCTAGTCGGGGGACGAGCGACGCCTCCTCCTGCAAAACAGCTCCGCCTCTTAACGATCCACCAGGAAAAGGGCCACGAAGCACACAAGTGCCGACGCCAGAGCCCCGCTAGGGAAAGGCTCCGGGAAATCGCAAGATTAGACGACGGCGATTAGGTTTAAGGGGAGCGAGAAAAAGGGGATGATAAAAACACAAAACAATCTAACTTAAATTGATAAAGTTTTGAATCAACTGATATACGTAGAAGTTTGTAATACGTTACAGGAACAAACCTTCTCACATCTCTTCTAGAAACTAATCATGTGATATACGTAGAAGTTTGTAATACGTTACTTTCAGGAACAAACCTTCTCACATCTCTTCTAGAAACTAATCATATTCATTGAAGTGGTTATATTAAAGTTATGTTTGATAAAACTAGTTGATAAACTAACTTATAGCTTATCAGTAATTTTTAGCTTATAACTTATAGCTTATGACTTATATCTGAAAAGCTAGCTTTATATGATAAAATTGTTTAGTAAAATTAGTTGGTAAGCTAGCCGAAATAAAAATTTCAACGAGCTTATTTGAAAAGCTACCAAAAAAATCTTATCAAATAAGCTCAAGCTTTTAAAAAAATTCATCATACCAAACAAGGGTTATTTGACACAGAGAGCTTATAATTTAATCAAATACCAAATATAGCCTAAATATGATGTACCAATCAAATCGAATTATCCTTTTTTTTTTCACTACTAATTACCCGTGCGATGCACAGGGAAATTACTATCTATACGCTTTTTAGAATGCACCTTTCTATATAATTTATGTAATAATGCAATGATCATGATCATAAGAATAGACATATAAACATATAATTAAACTGAAAAGATCATATATTATTGAACACTTCCCTATATACAACATTGTTGGTTTGATTCTTTGGCATGTCATCTTCACCACAAATTAAGATTTTCAAACATTTTCAGTTAGTGACATGTGACACAATAATATATAACTGGTCATGACTGAATACTGGTTTCTTAAGAAATAAGCAAACATGAGATAAGGATTGTCCCTAGCTCTTGTTTATAGTCACGGCGCAAGAAACCATAATGAGAAACTGCCGCTTTTGGAACTTAAAAGGAATTCTAACATCAGAAGGAGTTATGGTCATTCTTGGAATCAACACCTTATCACCAGCATGATCTCCTGTGAGTATCTTACACTCAAGAACATGACTGGATAGCTTTGTCACAACCAATCGTGTCTCATTACACAAATCCATAGGATGATTCATGTTCCGCAACAACATGACCGGAGTTCCAATTTTCAAATACAACTCATGGTTCGGTATTCCGGAACACTTGATACTATTCAAAAACTCAGGCGTATGGAGATCAGACAAAAAATCATTATTAGAATCCGATTTGCATGTACTGTCAGAACTCAAGTACATACGACCATCCAACAAATTCAATGATGTCATGTACTCATTGATAGACTCGGCCACATCCAACGTCGGCGCTATAATTCAAATTACAAATCAACTCCCAATTTTTCAAAAATTTTTAAAAAAAAGTTATCAATTGTAGTAAAATCTAAAATTTTAGGCGAGAACTTTTTTTCAACTTAAAGTAAATCCCTATTGTTATTTTATAATATTAGATTGAATTTCCAAAAGAACTAAGTCAAAGGTTTTGACTCAAATTTTTTATCAAGTTTCTATAAATGATTTTTTAATCAACCTCTTTCAATATATATATAGATATATAGATATATAAGTACATATATAGTACTCCCTCCTTATTTTAATAAGTATCGTTTTGAAAAGTTGCACAGTAATTAAGATTTTTTTTTTTTGTAAATAATAACCCTCATTAATGAGGATAGAGATGGATGTTTTGAGAAAAGATGAAGAATGAATATGAAAAGATGTAGTGTATTTATTAGCTAGATTGAGGTAATAATGAAAAAATATGTACAAAAGATCCAAAACGTCATTTATTTGGTTAATTGTTCATGGGAAAAAAGTGCTTAATGTTATTGCAAGCTCAATCCGTGAGTTGGTTGATGCCTACCCTCCGAAAAGAAATAAAGTCAAAATGACATTTAAAAAAAAAAAAGGAGGTAGTATATATTAATATATAAAAAAAACAAAGGATTTATTATATACAATAATTTAAAATTTACCAAGAATGTTTAAATTACTTATAACGTAACTTGTTTTATATGGCTTGATGTTACATTTACATTGATATATTTTGATCTCCTACAATCATGCTCCCTAAGTAACTAATAAATTAGATATCCTTGGTGTATATATTTCACATGTGACCTTTCAATTCGGAAAGAATCAATTAACATTATCCTCATCCACAATTCAACATCATCCTCCCGGTTTTTTTGTTAAGAAATTGATTCTAATATTGCTTTTAAAATCTCATTTTTTTTACTCAAATTGCACGTGCTTTTTAACAAATTTTCCTAAATTAGTAAGTCAAACAAATTAATTAATAAGTCAAACATTCTATTTAAGTATTTTTCCAACAATCTTTTTATATATATTAAAAAGAATTATTATTTACTACTGAAAATGAAGCCGATTTTTCTACCAATAAACTGATTATTATCAAACAAATTGATCCGAATATTTTTTTAAACAAAATAAAAAATCATCAATTTTTCCTAAAAATGCAACCGAATTTTCCTAACACTGCACCGATTTTTTTACCAAATAAATTGAATTGAAAATAATTTTAATAAAAAATTGAAACAATTTGTTAATGTTTATGCAACTGTCTCTTTCCTAAAGAAAATGATATGAACTTAAAAAAAAATGATATGAACTTACCAAAATCTCGGTAAAACATGGTTAAGAAAAACATAAGAATCCAAAAAAATTGATGCATTTAAATTTTAAAAAGTTGCACACAATTTTTCCTAAATAATTGGATAAGGTGACTTTAAATATCAAAGATGAATCGCTTTTGTTACAAAAAATGTGGACACAATTTTGAATGTACATCCTTTCCAAATATTAGTTTTATTCTAAAATGAAAATTGCACGTGGTTTTATCCAATTTATACACTTTTTTTAAAGAAAAAATTATTCAATAAAATTGGAAGAATTGGTTAAGAACTATACAACTATTTGTTTCCTAAATTCGTATCCAATTTGTACGGTCTTTAAGTTAATTTGTATTTAGAATTGTTTTCATAAATAATTGACACATTTTTTGTATAAGAATCTCCAAATTTGTTACCAAAATATATGATTTAAACTTTGGTACAAAAAATAAAATATGATGCGAAAAAATGGGATTCAAATTTTGCCATAAGAATCTCCAAATTAGTTACCAAAAAAATAGGATTCAGATTTTGTTACTAAAGATTCACATGTATTTTTTCGAACTTTCCATTTATAGTAAGTCAATTGTTTTATTTATTAGGTTAAACTTTCTATTAATGTATTTTTCCAACAACCTCTTTATATATATATAGATAAGACTCATAATAATTTTCGAAAATTTGGAAAGAATAATTTAAATAATAATATAATATGTATTATATGATATGGATATACACAAATAAGGGAACATGTTTATCATAGGAATGAGAAGTATAGAGGAAACAAATCTTTTAGTACTCTTAATATTGATTTTATATTTGTTACGCCACTAACACATCTTTTAAATATTTAATTAAGAGGAATAGCATATTTATGCTTAACGTTTCATATATCAATATATATATATATATATATATATATAGGGTCGCGCTCACATGAGAATGGTACTTAATGCGAGAAATAAGAATATATATGGGCCATTAGATCTGATGATCTAATGACTGATAAATGCCTTCATTAAGGGTAATGTAGAAATTTCCCCACAGGCCACAGCACCAACTCATTAGTGGGCCCACCAGACACCTCATGTTTCTCTCTCCATTACTCTCACACGTTTCTCTCCCCTCATTAAAACCCATACATTTCTCTCTCATAAACTCTATCTCACAAGTCTCTCACACACATCTCCCTCTCTCACACACATCTCTCTCGCACAGACATAGATACACACATACACACAGTGTTTTGATACGCACACACACAGAATTCGCCGGACTCAACACCGGCGCCATATCCCGAGCACCGCCGGCACTAGGCCTAATCGACAGCTATAGCGTCGCCGCCCGTCCGACTCTTCAGCCGCGCTGCCACTCCGGTGAAGCTCCGAATTGCCGCCGTCAAACTCGACGTCTCCGACATCCTCGTCCACCCGGCAACCGGCCACCGTCGTACCTGTCACCCTTATTCCGCCTCGCCGTTTAAGGTGCTGCAGGCGCCAACACCGGAAAGTCGACATACCATAACAAGCGGCCGTTTAATGGCTGATTTTTTTTCTTTTCTTCTTTTTAACAGCAGTTGGGTGCGGCGGAAATTTCTTTTTCTTTTTTAACACACACACACACGCGCAGCGGCGCACAGACCACGACCACCAATCGTCCCCTCCGTCAGACACTACACACCGGCGCACCACTTATCCGATTTCCTTCTGCCGGCGAGTCGTCTCTGGCACGCTCTCCTTCTCTCCGGTCTCCGACGACGACCACGACGGCGTTAAAGTACTAATTGAACAGGGACGTTTCAAAGGTTCCGAACCAATTTCAGCAAATCGGTCGATGAGCAGGTTCGATCCGCCGTCGGCAAGCAGCGGCACATCATGTCCAGCCGAGCGGTTCAAGGCGGCACAGACGGCGGCTGAATTGCGTGAGTGAGCCTGAAATGTGTTTTGGTTGTGGGCTTATTTTTGAAAATTCAATGATGTATAAGGGCTTAATTGAAATTTTGTGAACTTTAATAAATTAGAGAAAAAGCAATTCCTACTCCTATACACTAATACACGTGCTTAGGCTACTTCAATTGGTCTGAGAACAGTTGCATTACACAATTTCACAAGGTATTTATTATATTTTGGAGCAAAATCATAAAAATTGCACGCAATTTGACTAACACATATATTATATTATTTCTAAAATTAATGTAAAATATTAAATAAACATAATATAAAATGTTAAAATGTTATTGGACATATTGCACATTATTAACTGACGGGTTGCACTTTTGTGTTAGTGAGATTGCACCTTAGCATAACAAATGTACATGTTAATT